TATATATAACAGTCTTTGTTGACCAAGAAAACCATAAAATTCTCATCATGTTTTTGGAAACTGACATTTGTTATATTGATATCTGATTTTAGAGACTCACTGTTGTTGTATTCATAGACGGACACTGCAGTTGGTTGCAAGAAGCTTGCTTCCATAGTTGAATGGATCCTGAAAGTGATTATCTCTGGCTGTACGCTACTAATCTGCGGAGAGGTGTCCCACAAAGGTAAAATATGTGTAGGTAGTGCAAAACACAACTGAAACACACATGCTGAACTGCAGACTTTGTAATTAGGCAGGGATGACCCTTTAACACTGGCATACTTGAGAAAATGGGATTAAAATTACCTAAATTTGAGGAGAAATCAACACAATAGCTCTTTGAAGTATATCAAGTAGCTATTATATTGAACATATTTAGTAGTGAAGTATGTCTATGATTATATAAATAAAAGGCAACTTATCAGTCACAAAAGAAACACAAACATAAGTCGTCTGAATTTCAGAAAGAAGCCATACAGACGATCTTACCTTATTCAGGTAAATGATGAGTGAGCCCCTTTCTGAAAGATCCGTATTGCTTTCATATCTTGAAATGATCCTGGAGTGGCTTTTAGACAACTGCACACACAGAATTTAAAAGTAACTGGTTAGTACAAATAATAAGTTATTGTGCATTCTTGCTTTGGATACTTGTGTCCTTTTAAGCTCTTACAGCATCCAAGTCATTTTTGTCAAATGTGAATCCAGTTGGCAAACCAACATCTATAATTGACATGGATGCATTGCGCTCCTCTTTAAACCTGCATAGGCAAAAAATAGATTGGTTAAAACAAAAACACAAGCACAGAAATTTATTTGAATGTGCTGTTCAGAACAGTCCAATTTGGAAGTACTTACAAAACCTCTATTGTCAGCTTGTATATCTTCTCATCTTCATCTAGTTTCTCTGCAAAAGCAATGCATTTGATGAGCAAAATACAAAAAAGACAGACACCCATATATACCAAAAACAACAGGGAGATGGACATTGAAATTTACCTGGGACAATCTGCACAGACAAGCTGAACAACTCACAGTCCTTCTCTAATACCTTAGGCAGAGCGTAATACAGCGACATGATCTGAAAATGGCAGAAAGATCTTACTTGTATTGGACTGAGGTGGTAATGTGCTTTGAGGAACAAGTTATTAAACTGAGCTCACTTGAGTGTAGAAATAGATTTCGAATGAAAGCTTCATCCTTTAACACTTTAAGGAGCAAGTGTTTCGCTGATCTTCATCTCTTTTGATGGCAAATGAACTGAATCATTTCTTCAACAGATTTGATTCATCCATGAGGCAGTCTTCAACATCGGCTGCAGACTCACCCACCCCCACTGCTGCTGTTCCACCTCTGACACCTCAGACACTTCACACCTCCTCTACTCACCCTGCTCACTCCTCCCCACCCCCAACAACAGCATCCAATACACACTCAACACAAGGCTCCAGCCTGTCTCTCTCAACCACCCAGGTTAGGAGGGAACTGAGGAGGATTAAAGCCAAGAAGGCAGCGGGCCCAGATGGCATCAGCTCAAGGGTCGTCAGGTCCTGCGCGGACCAACTGTGTGGGGTGATGGAGCACCTCTTCAACCTGAGCCTGAGGCTTGGGAAGAGTCCCACAGCTCTGGAAAACCTCCTGTGTTGTACCAGTGCCAAAGACTTCACGCCCCAAGGACCTCAACAGCTACAGGCCGGTGGCTCTGACATCCCACCTGATGAAGACCCTGGAGCGGTTGGTCCTGGCTCAGCTTCGGCGCTATGAGCTCATCACTGGACCCACTTCAGTTTGCCTACCAGCCTGGCATTGGAGCGGATGATGCCGTCATTCACCTCCTACATCGTTCCCTCGCTCACCTGGAGACCGCTGGGAGCACTGTGAGAATCATGTTCTTTGATTTCTCCAGTGCCTTCAACACCATTCTTCCCACGGTTCCTGAAGGACAAGCTGGAGAACTCAGGAGTGGACCATCACCTCACTACCTGGATCCTGGACTACCTCACCGACCGACCACAGTATGTGAGGACTCAGGGCTGTGTGTCGGACAGGGTCGTCTGCAGTACGGGGGCCCCACAGGGAACGGTTCTGGCTCCGTTCCTCTTCACCATCTACACTGCAGACTTCTCCCACAATTCCACCCAGTGCTTCCTGCAGAAGTTCTCTGATGACTCTGCAATAGTCGGCCTCATCACTGATGGGGACGACAAGGAGTACAGAGGTCTGACCCAAGACTTTGTGGACTGGTGCCAGCTGAACTACCTCCAGATCAACGCCAGTAAAACCAAGGAACTGGTGGTAGACTTCCGCAGGCACAAGCATTCTCCACTGCAACCACTGAACATCCAAGGTATGGACATTGAGGCTGTGGACAGCTACAGGTACCTTGGTGTTCATCTGAACAACAAACTGGACTGGACTCATAATTCAGACGCCCTCTACAGGAAAGGGCAGAGCAGGCTGTACCTGCTGCGGAGACTCAGGTTTTGGAGTGAAGGGCCCACTCCTGAAGACCTTCTATGACTCTGTGGTGGCCTCAGCCATCTTTTACGGTGTGGTCTGCTGGGGTGGCAGCATCTCTGCCGGGGACAGGAAGAGACTGAACAGGCTGATCAGAAGGGCCAGCTCTGTTCTAGGATGCCCTCTGGACCCAGTGGAGGTGGTGAGTGACAGGAGAATGGTGGCTAAGCTGTCATCCCTGTTGGACAACATCTCCCACCCCATGCAGGAGACTGTGACAGCACTGAGCAGCTCCTTCAGTGGCTGCGGCACCCACGGTGTGGGACGGAGAGATTTCGCAGGTCTTTCCTCCCCACTGCTGTCAGACTCCACAACAAAGACTTTAACTGATCAAACACACACATCCACACATGTGCAATAACACTAAGTGCAATAATCTTTCTGGCATCGTTGTATTTTTACTCAGTTGTATATAGCATTTGTATTCTATTTTTATCTTATTGTATATTATTCTATTTTATTCTACTGTATATAGTATTTTATTTTATTCTATTCTGTACAGTTGTGTACTGTATTTATTCTTATTGTATTCTAATTTTTGCTTCATAACTTTTGCACTGTCCACTTCCTGCTGTGACAAAACAAATTTCCCACGTGTGGGACTAATAAAGGTTATCTTATCTTATCTTATATTTCAAGTGTTCAGCATTTTTCTCATTCAAAGATACATTTTTAGCAAACTGTAGTTGGTAATAAGTAGAGTCAATAAAGAGCAAGAGCTAATGTTTACTAATGAACCTTTCCTACCCAACAACCCTGAATTCTTCATTTTAAACTAAAAATGAGTTTACCTTTCTTTAGATGTGCATTTATTAAAAAACAAACAAACTAAACATTTCTTTTAACAAGGACCCCTTTTTAAATTGTAAATCGTAATACTAAAGCTAAACGTCTACAAAGCTGTTACAAATGTATGCAGCACATGTAATTACATGAATGAGTGCCATATTTACCTTTAAAACTGCTTCTCCATTTCCTGTGGCATTCACTTGTATATCCTTGTTTATAGCAGGGAACTATTGAGATTCAAAATATAAAAAATGATTAGAAATATTGAGAAAACAATTAATACACACAACACTATATTATATATATTATATAATAGTATATGTAATAGTATAGTATATAAAAATAAATCATGTTATGCTACGTTATCCTTTCTTCTTTTTAATCTTTTTAAAATTAATTTTTCAGTGAAAATCACAATTTTATAAATGTTTGTATTTTATTTGTATTTTATTTTATTTATGAAAATTCTTGTTCCCAACGATCCTCCTAGCAGGTTGATTTGATAAACATTGCACACTAAAAGCTAACTGCCCACTAAAAACTTTGGCTTTCCACTGGCAGAGGGACTTCAGTGTGTGGGATACAGAGTGGGATGGGTTGTGTAAAAACACCAATAACATCTAAAACTTACAGCTAAACACTCAGGTTGATAGGTCCGTAAAAGTAAATAAATAAATGTATAAGTAAATGATTATGAATTAAAGATAAGCCTGAAGTTTAGCTATACATTTGGTTTCATTGATGCAAAAACGGCTCAACATGAGTGATAGGGACACTAAGCTCAGCTCCAACTAACAGATATTAAACTAACTGAAGTTACTGCAGCAAACTGGCTAAGATTAGTACGGTAACATTGTCTTTGTAGGCTGTACTGTCATGATCTGTGCAGTCTGGATTTTCCTTCTTTCTCTGTTTTCTAAGCTGGAAATATGAGTCAAGTGTTCTTACTGGACCCACCTTCCAGTGGCACTTTGGATTTTTCTGGGCTTCAGCTCTCAACCCTGGTTCCAGTATCAACATGCAGGGCTTGTACCTTCACTCGCTGCCAAATTGTTGTTACCTCTAACTGGCTCATGCAAGTTCAGGACTAGTTTTTGCTTCATGTCCCATTTAACCTCAATTTCATTTTTCTCCAATAATTCTTTTGGTGAAACGAGAGCTGAAGTTTTCTCTTCCCCATTCCCAAATCCCAAACTCACCACCACACTTACTTGTTTGAACAAGATGCTTGGCTCACCTTTGATGTTCTTGTGGTAAAACGATTTGCCTTGCTGAAGCTGTACTTGTCAGTCATTGTTCTGCCGGGTAGCAGGATGTCTACATTCACATTATACTCTGGTTCTTTAGCATTGATCCAGTACTCTGAACTTGCCTGGTACACCATTATGGTAGCCTGAAGAAGAATATATGCATTAGACTGAGTCTTTCTATACTGACAAAAAAAAAGAAAAAAATCGGTAAGGTTTTGCTACACAGACACATAATAAACTGTCAGAGGGACTTTTGTTTTACCTGAGTTGACCCATAACCTCCATTTCCCTGTTGGTACTTGCCAAGCCATCTCACAATAGGTGTGGCTTCCTCATAGGCCTTTAATAAAGGAACATAAGCAACTAAGTCAGAAGACATATCCCGCAGTCATGGAAAAAATGTTTGTCTGAATCATTAAATAAACAAACAGTAGAATTCATGGCCATGTTTAATAATAGAAGAGCAGTTGTACATGCAGAATGCAAGGAGAACTGAAGGCACTGGGACTAAAACCACATATACATGAGGCTGATGTCATCAACACACTATGATAGAAGAGGCTTCAATTTTCTGGGAACATAAATAAATCGATAGCACATAAATAGATAGACCTGGTGACCAGTGATTAAGAACAACTGCGAAATTGGTGCAGTTGTCCGCACTAACCCAAACAATCATCCCTCACTCATGCGGCTCCGGAACAACAAATTCTTGTCCCTGATAAAAGGACTATATTTAGTCTCTCTGCTGACTTTTCATCTTGTGCCATTGTTAATTTTAACCCCCCCCCCCCCCCCCCCAATAAAAACTCAATCAATGAAGAAATCCCAAATATTGAAGAAATTTCAGTTTGCATCAGATGGGCCCCACTTTTGTAGCCAACAGTAACAGCCAATTTTATCTTTATTTTTTTTTATCATTTTATTATTTATTTATTTATTTATTTTTAGCTAAAGCATGTAGCATTGTTACTATGAGCCTATTACATGCTGATTATTAACCTAGGTGAATAAAAAATCTAAACTAAATTTAACAAAACAATTTTGATAGACCTTCAGAAAAACTAAGCCAACTATTGTCCAAGACAACGTAAAAAAATAAATAAATCACAAAGTCATTTAAGCCTTTCAAGACTGAAAAGTGTTACATGTTAGCTAAAATTAGTATTGGCTTTTATCAACTTTACTTGTTTATGTAATTTTCCCAGTTTGTTTTGAGGGGTTTGAGTTGAATTACACCTCTGTTGTATTTTCAGTGTAAGTGGGATTTGCTCACCTCAGCCTTGATAAGTGCGAGCAGAGCATAAGCTGTGGCCTCCAGTGTGTAATAACGTTCATCACGTACGTTCCAGTGGGTTCTGTCTGTGGAGGATCCATACATACAATTACAAAAAAGTTTTACAAATACATATATTTCGTTTTATTATTACTATTATTATTGTTAGTTGTTGTTGTGTTAACAAAATCTTTAAGCACACAAAGGCACTAAGTAGAAGGATTCCACATTTCTCTCATTTTTGAGAGCTGTATCTGCTGTATCTATTTTTCTGTCTCCCAAGAGCGTCTGTTTTCAGTTGTTTGATTTTAACTAGTAGATGGAATTGACCACGAGGCATTTTCATTTAACAAATAGGCAAGTGAGAGCTGAGAATTCCCTTTGATATGAGTATGAATCAACTGTTCTGTCGCTACATAATGCTATATTATATATATATATATATATATACATATATATATATATATAGATATATATATATATATTAATAAGAATAAATAAAATAAAAATTGATAATCTTTGTAAACCAAAGATTGCTTGCACTTGCAATTTTTACACAGACCTCAAACTTAAACAGAGAGTAAATATCAGCTCTATCTCAAACTTATTCAAGAGTCATACTCATCCCTCATCTGAGGGATCATCTCATAGTTGACACCTCAGATGAGCTCAGTCATAATTAGCATTTTTTGCCCACATTCACAGGTTTTTATACTGTGAATATGGTCACTATCTGTTAAAATAGAGCCATGTTCAGGGCAGTGCAGAAGTACCCGTGTACTTCTAATG